CTGTACCTCCCTGGGCTGGGCCAGCCTGGGCCTGAGCCAGTTGGGAAAGCAAATGTATGGGGGGGTCTAGCACCCCAGTTCCAGGATGGGTCCCAGGCAAATTTTCATAGTTGGTCAAATTTAAATCCCTCCCTTTCACCTCCTCTTTCAACAGACTCCTGTCATGTCGGCCCCCTCTCCTAAGGGTCCTAGTGTCCCAGTAGTGTCAACAGCTCAGTAAGCTGCACGTATGTTGAGCGTGCCGACAAGCTGCTGTCCCTCCCCCATTGGAAAACAGCATGTATAAGTTTGAAATTTGATCTATCATGATATGCATCAAAGCATATTATTATGGGAGTAATCTGAACTTCGTTGGATTTCTTCACACTTTTTGGTTGACTCTTGTTGTTTGATTTACACATGGGCATTACCGTAACATCTGCAGTGATGAATGTTTATAAATGCCTTTATCCAACTGTGTGTTTGGGACCATCAATGTGGCACCCGTTTTGTCTTTTCCATGTTGCACTTTGTGCACCAACTTTGGGTCAAATGTGATCTACTGTAAGTAATGGTTACCAGGAATTTGCTCATCGATCACGGTGCTCTCTCCTAAGGAACCTGGACAGAGCTACATGACCTCTATCAATGTCTGATGGTACACAAGAGCGTCATCTATTTACTTGTTATCACCAGTGCTTCTTCAAATCTGTCTGAGGACTAAGTACATGAGAATGATGTTGGCCACGCTCTAACCATGCAGATTCTCAGGGCCCCTGGTGATGAGTCTCAAAATCATGTTGATATTTTGGGGAATGCTCAGGTGTTCCTGTGTTACTCTTTCTAAAATCTCTTCTGCTTCCCATTTCTGATCATATTAACTCTTACAGGGAAGACTGGCTGGCTGTAGGCTGTTTTTTAAGCCGTAATGGAACCATTAGCTCCAAGAGAAAAAAAAAAAGATATTGGAGCAAAGGAATACAAGTTCCTGAAGGCTCTCAGTGTAAAGGGAAACAGGTGGTAATACTTTTCAATACCTGCTCTCTAATATTTTTTCTTTTCCTCTATTGAATCTTGCCCACCTCCAAGGGTACAGAGAATTTATTCCACGCTGATGCTCTGGGGCTAAGCACTGTGCATCTGATTCCCATGGCCTTTGCACCTCTCTGAGGCCTATAGTGTGTCTCCCCTAAGGGCTAAGCAGAAGGGCTGTGTTACAGAAAGGAGCAGAAGTCACATGAGTTTGAGATTCAAGTCCAAAGGTCTGTTGAATGTCCCGTGCCATGTATCCTATGTAGGAATCAGAACGGAGTATTTTAATGATGGCTACATGCATCTAATTCCAACTTGCCATTATTCATCATGGTTTACCAACTCTCTTTTAATATTTATAATCCTCAGAGGGATCCAAGCCTCCCTAGGACACTAGAAGGTCAGGCAGAATTGAAATGGTAGATCTACCTCTTACCATTTGTATGATCATAGTCAAATTACTTAAGGAACATAGCTCTTAGGGCCTTAATATCCTCAGCAGTATAAGGGGGGTGATACAATATGTAACTCACTGGGTTATTTTGAAGGTACATTAGATGTCACATTTAATGCAAAGGGCACATAGAAATGCTTCATGTGGTAGTAGTTATACTTGTTTATCAGGATAAGAGAGAAAATCAGACACTGGAGGAAGAAACTGTCTCTGTGGCTATAGTCTTGAAAGGTCCATAGTAAGATAGTCCCCCAACAAGCACCTCTAAAGTGCTTGGCTGTACTTCTTTCTCACCTTGCACATCTGATTGTTGTAGGGATTTTCCAGTTCAAGACAGAAAACACTTCAACATGAAGAATACAGTGTAAGACCTTTTGAACAGTGAACAGGTAACTAGACATACATATGCCTGTTATTACACCGCCTAGCCATCCTCCATTGGTGAGGGCAGGCCCTCCGGGGAGAGAAGAAATTGTGTGAGTGAAGGAGTAGAAGGCACTGAAAGAGAAGGTGGGCCAAGCATTTCAGCAGGGGTAGAGGTGGGAAGATAGCACCCCTCCACTACCTCACCTTTCCCTCATTCATTTTTAAACAAGTTTTAAGTCAAGTTAAATACTTATATTTAACTCTCCCTTGGGAAAGTATGACTTTATGACACCCATGTGGTGTCCAGTGTGCATTTAAATGGAATCTGACTTCAGGTTCCTCATATGTGAGTCACAGCAATATAAAGACTTGCAAGAAATATGGACTGTGTGTTTGTTTGCTTGAAATTATTACAGACAGATGATATCTTGTCACCAGGAAGTAAGACTAGACCCCAGTATGTTTTCTCTAGAGGAATGGAAATAGTGCTTTTAAAGGAACTTATCTCACCTTGGACTTTTGTTTCCCTAAAGAAAAAGTAGTCTCTAATGTATGGCTTAGTCCTGTGAGTTTCCACCCTAGAGGCCCCTTAAGTCCTATATAGGAGTGCCTGACTTGTGTTTTGCGCCATCGGTCTAGGGAATCTAGGCCACTGACTCTCAAAGCCCCAAGTCCCTCCTTAATAAGGCTCTGAAGACTCCTTGTGGATTAGACATCTCTAACCTCTGCGCATTCCGCCACCTCCCTCCCCTCCACTCCAGTGGAGAGTTCCTTAATGTTAGACCAGCCATGACAAGGAGCTGGGAAACCTGTGCTCTTACAAGTTTTCTGATTTCCCTTCCAGTGCTTGCTAGCAACCAGAGAGCTGAACCAAAGTGGTTCATACTTGTCTTACCTTAAAACTCCATTTGTCAAACAGCAATTGCACAAGAGAAAGGTCAGCACTTTCTGTTCTGAGCACTTAACTTTAATCATTTCTTAATGTGGACAGAGTCTAAGAGGTTTTTAAATCAGTCCTCAAATGTAATGGAAAGGGGTCAGTTGGTCATGCAACCAGAAATGGAAACCCAGTGCCTGGTTCCCTCTTCTCAACCCCATTCCATCCCCATGTACTGCTGTATCCTTGTAGAAACTCCACAAATATTCCTTCAGTCAATAGATCTTTATTGAGCACCTACTATATGTCAGACATTTGTTGAATGAATAGCTAGGTTTCTCCTTGTGATTTATTTTGAAAATTGCACAATCATGTATTTTTATTGTTACTTTAATAACAAAAGTGGAACATGCTCACTGAAAAACAGTGAAACTATATAAAATTAAAAGTTCCCCCATCTTACTACCTACCCATGGATAACTACTGTTAATAATTTGTATTATTCCTCCCATCATATGCTACATTCTGTACTGCAATTTGCTTTATTCATTCAACATGCAAGTTACTTCTTTCTGTCTCAGTATACGCAATTACTTCAATTTTTTTCAATTCTAAGTTTTATATATTACACATGTACCACAATTTGTATAATTTACCTTTTCTTATATTGATTAATATTTAAGTTGTCTCCAGTCTATGGTTTAGAAATAATGCTGCAAAGAACATTCTTTGGCTTATATCCTCAGGCTCTTTTATGGGTATATTTGTGGGATCACTCTGAAAAGTGGAATTGCTAGGTGTAAGGGTTTGTACTTGTAAAATCCTTAGGTACTTTTAATTTGCTTTCCATAAATATTGTGTTGATTTAAGACCCATTCATGACATATAAGCTATGCACTGTCTTTAACTGATTCCTCCATTAAAGTGGCAGGTTTTAGTGCCTTGATATCCTACCAAATCAATAATCAATCACTGCTCTTTGAGAAAATAAATTTGGGCTATGCAGTGAGCATCCACAGTGGGTAAGTAGTAAGATGTGAGGTCATTGTTTTCCAAGGGAAGGGAGAGTGTTTAATCTAAATATACACCCCATTCCAAGGAATCTGCTAACCTTGTTCCTGCCTCCTCCCTCAGTACCTTCTCCACTGTCTCCAGCCCCCATTTCAGTTTAAAATTAACTATGGTGGGTAATTTGGGTATAAACACTTAGAATACAATAGTTGCCCTCAAAGGCTTCTCAAACTGAGTTGGGGAGACAGACACAGATGGCTAAAAAACAAGCTAAAAATACAAGTCAGGATATAAAAAGCAGCAAATAAATATAAATAGTCAGCATCATTGCAGCAGTTCAGAGGAAGGAAGGAAAACTGTGGACTAGAGCATTCATTGGAGCTTCAGGACAGAGATGGTGAACGATTTGTGGATTTCGCTAGGTGGGGGCTGCGTGGGTGGGGAGATAACTGTAAAAGCCCAAGTAAGAATCAGCTGACAGAGGAAGAAAATTCTATGAGAGCTGAAAAAAGGGGCAAAAGTGCCCCTTTTATCTTACTAGTTACAGTAGTCCTTGAGAGCCTTAGAGATACTTGGCAGAGGTTTTTCTCTTGTTGTTGTTTTTTGTTTGTCTGTTTTTGGCACGATGGCATTGGTACAGGTAGGTCACTAAAATTTTGAGAATTTTAAGAAAGTTTCCAGCAGTCTTCTCAGGAAGCAACTCTGCCTATTCCCACATACGCACACAATTTTGTTTATGATTTTAGGGAGCCCTTTCTTGGACCCCAGGGTAATCTTCAGAGTATACCTAAAAAAGAGTTGCAACCCAGGACAATCCTTCTAGCACAAAATGTTCAACAGGTATACATAATCATGGTAAAAGTTATTAAGCACATAAGTCATAACTAATATTCGTATATTTATGAATCATCAAACTCTGAAATAGACTCAAAACAGGTGAGTAAACAACTTGATAGGGCCCTGCTGGCATTTCAAACTTTTCCTCCATGTCTCCAGTGTATCCAGCCTAAATTAGTGGAGATGATTCTTTTTCAGGGGAAAGGGTCTGACCCGAGAGTCACCAAGCTCTTGAAAATTTGAATCAATGGGGATTCTTAACGCTTGTATAACTGGACTCCACCCCAAGGTGCCGATTTTTGCTGCAGAAAAGATACTCTTGCTCCCCACCCCCTCCTTTCTTTTTGACAGTTAATAAAGACTCAACAATAAGCAGCTGCCAGTGATGTCATTTGGGACTTTGTCCACGGAGCTTGTATTTACAAGCTCTGAGCAACCACGGAGCCTCAGCGGAGGGAGCAAGTCTCCGCAAACTGGCTCCGGATTCTCTGCAGGACTTCGCTGCCACTTTGGATGGTCAGGAACACTGAACGTGTCCTCTTAGCTCTGCCTTTTAATGCTTCAAAAATAAACAGAGGATAAACTCGGGAGGAAAGTTTTAGCTGGAGAGAGTTGTTGCAGTTCCTGTATCTGTCTCCAGGGCTGTGATATGTGTTGACTGAAGAGCTAACTACAAGTAAGACTGTTGGGATTTTTTTTTTTAACTCTTGTAATAGTGTTTCTTATTTGTACAGTTTGCTTTTCTTTTAAAGTGAGATGATGTTTACAGATTCCTTCAGGCTCGCTCGCCTGCCACCACAAGTATGCATCTGTTCCTAGTAATTATAGTCGGCTGAAGTTGCCGTTTAGGTGTACAGGAGTCCTTGTCTCTGAGAACAGGCACCGGGACAAAGATGATAACGCGATGGTACTGAATTCCTAATCATTTGCATCTGCAGGGAGGTTGGATTTTTCCTTTTAATAAAAAGCAACCAACCATACAAAAAACTATCAGGTTGACCCAAGGATTTTAATAGAAAACTATAAAGACTAATTTTTAATTAACTGGTGTGTGCTGAAGGGGGAAGCCCACTTTTTGTCTCTGATACTTTCTGTGGTTTATAGATTTCTAATATGTGCATGTTGTTTATATTATAGTTTCTTGTTCCCTCCTGCCTGCCCCCTCTCCCCAAATGTGGACACTTGCGCGCGCGCACACACGCTCATTCATTCTCCGGGAATTGGAAAGCATAGAAAAATGTTTTGAAATTGAAACCATTTCTAACTGGATTTATTTCCATTGAGTATCTGGAGACATGTTCACTGTTCTGACTTCCGCGTTAGGCACCTCAGTTAATGTACTGCTGAAAAAGTCAAACTTTGACGTGCAGCTAGGTAAGGATTCAAGATCCATATCCTCTCTCTTTCAACTTTCCTCCTGCTCTTCTTTGGGGAATAGTAAGAGTGGGCTCCATGTGGGCCATGCTGGCTGTGGGCTCGCTCTTATCACGGCTGCATTGGGCAGCTGACCACCTGGAAGTTCTACTGAAGACCCCTGTGAATTTCCCTTCCTGTTGCATGCTTCAAGCGCCTGCAGTTCAGCCCCATGCAGCCAGTAGCAAATCGCGGTCAATTCTTGCCATCTAGAACTGACAGCCTTGCTGCTTGTATTGGCAAAAAGGGGCTCTTAGCCTGTTACCTCCTGCGTGCGAACCCCATGACCCACTCCTGGAGACCTGGCCTGCTCTCCACTTCAGCTGCTCTGTCACCAGGCCAGGAGAGCAGTGACAGCCCTTTCTGCCTTTTTCCTTTTTCTCTGGTCTCAGAGAGTTGTAAGAACCCAGTGACAGAAAAGGTCCAAAAATAATTTGTTTTCTATGGACTTCTATGGTGGGCAACCTCCTGTGTGTTTGTTGGCTCCAATTTTTTCCATCAGAGCCACTCTGCTTTGATATGTTTTATGTATCAAAGTTCAGTGCTTTTGGGGAATTTTCATTTAAAATCAGGGATTTTCTGCTAAAGCAGTTTTCAAAAATATTAGTCAAAGCTTATCCTTTTATAGAAGAAAACCTGAGGCACAGGAGGGAAAGTAATATTTTCAAAGTCACCCGGCAAGATGGTGGCAGAGTGCAACTGGAAACCATTTCGCTGTACTCATTCTGGTATACATTCCCCATTGCAGTTCTTATGGATATAAAGGCAGTAGGACCCCACGTGGTTAATAGGGCTTCTTGTAGGAACAGGGCTGTGTGAAGGTAGGTGTGTAGGTGAAGGTGGTCTGACAAAGAGAGAACATTCTGTTTTGTCTTTGGCCCTGAGTATGCTTTTAAACATCTCTCTGTTCCTCCTCATTTTCACTAGAGAACCAAAGAGAACTCTGTGATTGTTTTACAGTTGATGGCTGAAAGGCCAACAAGTTGATTCCGCAGTGGCAATGGTACAGAACGTATTGTGCATTAGGTACAGGTTCAGAGACCTACGGTGGTTCCCAGGTCTGACATTCTGTGCTTCTGCTTTACTTTTATGTCTCAAACTTCTTTTTAGAGACCTCACCTTGCTTTTCTTTCTCCTCTTTGGGACCCCCTCTTGTTGGTAGAAACTTCTCTTCACTTTCTCATTGATTCCTCCTCCCCCTTTATTCTCTCTCTGCAGCCTGGACCCCAGATTCTAACATTCAACTGTATTTCACTCACACCCTTCATTCCTTTTCTCTATGGAACTTTCCTTGGCCAGGCACCCATGTCTATGGGATGCCTCCATGGACTCTCCAGGTCGAAGTGATGATTTTCTTCTTTGCACCCTCATGGCATCTTGTGCTGACTTTTGCTGCAGGATCTGGAGCACTTTGCCACATAGATAAACACCTCTTTCCATTGAAAATGAGGGCTCTGTTTTAATAACTTCCTATATCCATGGTGCCTAGTACAGAATAGTTGTTCAATGTATAATACTAAGTAAATGAATGAGTCAATTGCTAATCTTAAATATCCCTTTGCCTACATCAAACACCCAGGCCTCTGCGCTTTGCTGACAAAAATATCTCATAATTGTGCTGAGTGGCTTTTAATTCTTCTTCACTGTGGTTGAAGGCCCTCAATGCCAGACTTCTCAGCACACAGACAAGTCTATGCCTGATGTGATGCCCGCCAACCTGCTGGCTCATCTGTCTCTACTCCCCTGCATATACTTATATATCTGTTGCGGAGGTTCCTGGCCCGAGAGCTCTCCCAAATTTCCCATGGAGGGCTGAGGGGCAGCATGGCAGAGTGACTGAGGAGGTGGGCTGCAACCAGACTGCAGGGGCTCAAGTCCGGCCTCCACCCACTTACTGCCTTTGTGATATTGGTTAATTCACTTAACCTTTCTGATTCAATTTTTTTTTAAAGATTTTTATTGGGGAATTGGGGGATGAGAACAGCGCTGGGGAATTGGGGGAAGGGGGGAAGGGGAACAGACAAGTTGCTGTAGTTTTGTTCTTCAGTCTACTTGTGGAGGATGTTGCTTCACTGGCCGAAGTTGGCACCATCATTGCGCTCTTCCCGGCGAGGCAGATCAGTCACCGGTTTCTGGACAGCCGCTCACTGCGGCTGCTGGCCGCTCACGCTGGCTGCTGGCTACACACGGTAGCCCATGGCAACCCACTGCCACAGGGTCTGCAGCCTACACCGTCGCTGGCGACTCACGGCAGCCCAGCTCCAGGTTGAGCTGTTGTTCAGCATCTTAACTGTGGAGGGCAGTGTCACTGGCCCTCATATGGGATCCGAACTGGGGCCCTCTGGCATCCCAAGCCAGTTCTTAACCATCGCACCACTCGGCTGGCCCTTTCTGATTCAATTTTTCACCTTTAAAATGTGTATAATAAGAGTGCTTATCTTATGGAGGCTCAGGGAAGGATTAAATAAATTATTAGAGCAGAAACACTTAGCACAATACCAGGGATATATTAGTACTAATGAGTGTTAGCGATTGTCATTACTGTTTGCCTTGCAAATGCCATGTCCCAACCCAGACTTAATGAATCAGCATCTACAAGGTGGGATTCAGACCCAGGCATAGTTAAAAACTTCCTCAGACAATTTGGATGGGACTTGCTGACTTAGCTACTGGAGCTGCTCCTGTAACCCATACTCCTTCCTGCCTGTGGCACCTCTGTATCCTTCAGGTCCTTGCCAAATTTCTAATCTCATACACAGCTCACCACTTGGCACAGAGTGAGTTGCCAATAAATGATGAAAACATCTGTATGAATGGAAGCGTGATTGGTCCTGTAAGAGGAAATTTAAACTGTGTTCTTCCCCACAATCACTAGTGAGTGAGTGCTGTGTATCAGGCACACTTCTAAGTTCTTTACATGTGTTACCTCATTATGATCATTGTACTCATTTTCCAGGCAAAGGTACTGAGGTTCAGAAAGGTGAAGTCATGTGCAAAGGTTACATGGGTGATAAGAGGGAGAGGCAGGATTTGAACCCTGCACTCATACCCTTGACCTTTCATTGTACTCCTGTCTGGATGTGAAAGGCTATTTTTTCTCATGAGCTTTGCCCATGATGGAACTTTGATTTTTCTTGTCTTCCCCTGAAATGATCGTACTGGCAGAGCAGCAAATCAGATGGACGCTTATAGATGTCAATCGGTTGAGCTGGTGCTTCACATTTTCTGGTCTTTCAGAATTGTGTATAGCCTGCGACCAGTCCTTTGGCATATTTGTTTTTCTTTTAACCTCAGACATGAATACCCTTGCAGGTTAGTCTAAGTTTATGACTGAATGTCAAGGTTACTTGCATTCTTGGTATGGGTGTTGGTAGGCTGAGTTCAGCTTGCTCAGGAGTGTAATTCAAGGGAGATAGATTAAACAACAACAAAAAAAATGGGAATAATGCCTGGCTGTTTGGTTGGTCCGTAGACAAATTTACTAAGAAAGGTGACTGTATTTTGTGATAGTGGATTTCAATAGCTTGAATGGTTGAGGCTGAGCACCATGGCAAGTCGTAGAACCAGTTAACTACAAGGTACCATATAGCCTTAATTTTCTCTACTTCTCTAACGCTACAAAGTTTAATGCCTTTGAAATTTTGGATTCCCCATTGCACTTTCTTTATAGATGAAGTAATAAATCTCTCAGATACACAGAACATTACCCACAACATTTACTATGCCCCAAAACATACTTGTCTAACGAAGTGTGTCATGTTGGTTTGGAAGCCTCGATTACACAAGGTACTTCCCAGTAGTTACATAAATTAATCAGGTATTTTCAGGACAAGAAACCACATCTCTCCTCTTAGAAAGAGTCTCTGGATTAGTGATTCCTTACAGTAGAATTTGGATGCACTATAGAAACCCAATGGACTGAGCTCAAGAGTAAAGTCCCAAGCCTGTTTTGGTATATAAGCTCAAACAATAAGATGGCAGATAAATGTTATGGTGATGAAGGAAGAACTGTTAGTTCAGAAATGTGGGAAGAAGTGTTACTGTCAAGATGTGTGTCTGATAAGCTGCTCCATTAAGGATACTTGCTTCATTTGGCAAATTGAATCTGGAAACAGAACACTGATCCAGGTCAGCCCAAAAGATATGTCCCCAATGGTTTCCATTGTCAGTGCTAATCTGTTTTTAGAAACTTTTTATAAATCAAATAATATATGCTCATAATTTAGAAAAACAAATAGTACTAAAATGTTTATGTAAATATAT